GAGGGATGAAAAATAAGAACGTGGGCATAAGAATACAAAACATTGACCATGGGCATCCTCAGTCCTGGAGAAAAGGCCCACCACAGTGTGATAAAAGACAACATAGGAAAAAGGGAAAGAACAAAGAAGCGACTGATGTGAGACAAATCAATCAAAAAACTCTAGTCTAAGAACTCTTAGATGTAGGACATGTAAATGATGGGAAGGTGCCAGACATTGGAACATGAATAAAGAATACAATGACCAAAGAGACAAACGAGCAACCAAAAAAAAGAAAGAAAAAATCGAATGCAGCAATCCAGATAACCCACATGATGCTAAAGTTACAGGAGTGACACTCCCCAAAAAAAATGGACCAGTAGAGGAAAAGAACCAACTGCAAGTCCCAAATAGAAGTGGAAGGAAAACAAACTTGGTACAAGACAGTGTCTCACCCCAGAAGATCCCAAAAGCAAAGAAGCCACGTTTGTATGGAAACAGCCGAAGATGGCAAATGCCCCAACATGGAGGTGAGGAGGATGAAGGTATCCTATAAAAATCCCCAAGAAATAAATGAAACACCTCAGAAAGGAGGTGTATGGCAGCAGTAGTAAAGGATATAGGGGAAGACAAAGGCTGGAAAGCTTGGCTGGGAAGAAAGGGATAGAATTAACAAAAAAGGGTTTAAAAGATAGTGTAGTCAAAGGGTTAACTGTCCTTTACTTCTCAAACACCATCACATAAAATATAGTTCATCTTATAGATGGAATTCCCCAAAACTGATTTAATTCAGTGGCATGTAGTAAATCCAGGAAAAAGGCTGACCTTTGTTTCTTTTTTTTGCCAAAATTTACAAACTTCAAATTTTTTATAAGCTTCACATGCTACCTAGGTATTGTCTTCCTAGATTATAATATACATATAAATCAGATGATCATTCATTCCCTAAAACTAAACCTACACTTGGCTGATAATCGTCAAACTTATCGGCAATATTTATTTCCTAATGGAACTTACACTGATAAAACATAGTTCTCCCAGCTTGTCTGTTGTGCTAGCCTTTAAACTAAAGACTCAATTTTACAAAGTATAGACTGAAATTCAGAATATTTTTAGCAAACTCTCTATTGTAGAGGTGCTATATTATAATCAGTTAATTAAGCCCTATAGAACCAAATACAGGTATACCTTTGAAACAGTTGTTTACTACCTTCTATCTAACAAGTGAATATAATCTCTCTCCCCTTGTAACTGAGAATATTAGTTTCAGAATGCATTCTTTAGCTCCCATACATGATGTCTCTGAAGCAGCCACTTATGGATTCTTCTACTGTACTTACCTTTACCTAACTTGTAATGTACAAGGAGCACACTTTTCAATTCCTAAGATAACTACATTGAAGACAGACTTACAAATGAATTGTAGAGTTGTATATAATTACTTGTGGTATATTCTAAGTTGTTAATTCCACACCACGTGTCACTAGCCACAATAAGTGTCTGCTTCAGGGCACATATATGACTGCTACACCTGAGAGCTTAATTTTACATTTTAAACAAATAGTAAATGAATTCTATTTTTGCAAATATACAATTTTTACAGTCTGAAGCATCAAAAACAGGCTGTTATGGGCTACTGCAGACTCTGAGCAATTATACAGGTTAAATGTCAAGCTTCTGAAAAACTGGTTTAATATGTTTTAAATGTTCACCGAGAGACCTGAAAATATAAAAGGAACAAGCAAATAAACAAAACTCCAAGATACCATTCATTGGAAAGATTCAATGATACAATGAAATATAGCCTCAAAATTAGTGTATGAAGTTCATTAAATTCTTTTACATGAATTACAACCCTCCATCTAAACCTACTTCAAGACAGATTAAACAGGATACTACTTTGTTCAGGTTGCCAAGTAAAGCAGAACAAAAGTCTGTAATTACTTGAGGTCCCAGCATAACCACACTGTGGAGAAATGTCCCCAGCCAAGCTTCCTGATCACGTGATACCTCCCTTGGAACAAGTCACTAATCTTCACAGGATGATAACCTCCTGAATATTTAAAAAAAGTGATGTCATTAATATATGAAAATATGGATAAAAAAAAAAGATGTTGAAATAAACCTCATGATTTGGCTTTTCTTCAGTAATCTTATCCAAATAAAAAAAAAAGATCATTTAAACAGAAATAACCAAACAAATTTTGTAGCTTATTATACTAATAAATTCCAGAATTGTTAACAATATCTAGGTAATCTCTTTTGTATTTATAATATGTATAAAACATGTCAACATAAGTTTTGCTATTCCCTTTATGTTTTAAAATCCCAGGTGTATCACTTACAAGAAAAGTATATTCCCAGATTTTAAAAACCTACTCATATCATAGAGATTTCAACCAAATATACCCACCCCCATCCCCCCTTTTTATGGTAAGATTTGGGAGGAAAACTTTTTGTAGCAATGAGGAATTCTGGTTACATTTTTGCAATGGGTTCAATATTTCAAAATTATATACTAAACTGAAGCCCAAAACATTATTGATATATAATGTTCTTGTTCAGAAGTATTAAAACAGCAGATTCAATAAGTTCTTGAGTGATGAGTACACTAAAACTTTGCTATTTTAACAACCTTATAATTTATACCCCAAATCGGATTGATAACTACTCTACATCCAGTCCTTGTTAACATACTCTAAAAATGCTCCCCTGTTTCACTAGTAGTCACTATTATTACCACCATCTCATGTACCTCAAGAGAGCAGTCAAAATATGCAAATTTAATGGAGCCCATTTCCATCAGAAATTTATCATTTGGTGTCATTTTCAGCTGGTTTGTAAAGTGGTTGTTGGAACCCTAACAGCCCCATTCATTGCAAGCTACACTGCAACTGCATATAGTGTTAGGAAGTTAGATGTTGTTGATAGAATTCTCATGCTGCATAAATTAAATTTCATCAACAAGAAATCTTCAAAAAATAAGCTCTATTAAAGTTTCTTTAATGCAAATATAGCCTCTGTTCTCAATTTTGAGGAAGTAATTAAAAAAAACCCTTTTTTTTCAATGAAATCACGAATTTGAAAAAACAACCACAAATGATCCCTTTCTCCTCAAAAATGTTTACACTCATGGTTATTTTACTGCTGAGCGAGTAGCAGACCTGGGTTTATAAGCTGGACAATTAGACTTAGACAATTTCTTATATTAACAATCAGTAATATTAATACAATCTGAATGAATGTTTGGTAATACTCATTTGCATAAAAGTAACAGTTAAAATCTGCTGGCATAAAAACATGGCATGTTATTCTAAGTAAAGTGGCAAAAAACTGCCCAAGTACTTCTGAAGTGTGACTTCTTATTCAGCATTTGCTTCTGCTAAAGAAACGGGTGCTCATTGAAATGTTTCCTTTTTTTAACTTTTACCATGACCCTCTTGACTTATTAACTCAGACAGAAAAAAACAAAAAGAAATATAAAACAATTATCATTTATTCAACATTAATTTAGGTTTCCAAGGTAATCAAACTGTTATTTGAAAGTACTCCTGTATCAATATATGTAAAAAATTAATGTTTTGCATATTTTAACAAAAACAAAATAATCACTGGAAAGAGTGGAAAATTGTCTAACACAGATGATAAGCATCCCATATAAACTTAGTATTTGCACTAATATTGATTAACGATGCTAATGAAGTAATAGTTACATGTTGAGCTCACTTTAAGTTGTGATCTAAGTCTATGGAGTATACACTGAATCCAATGATATTTGGATTCTAAAGCATTTCTTCAATAAAAATATACAACAAATCAAGCAACTATAAAAATTTTGGTATTTTTCAAATTTCACAGTTTCCCTGGTTCATGGGAATGAAAAATCTGGTTGCAAAAGAGTTAATAACATTCCCTTTAATCAAATACATGATATAGCTATATATATTTAAGATTAATTCATCTCTTTATTAATAGTTTTATTTGTTTTAAAGAAAAGTAGAGGCTAAAAGAATTTCTAGTGGTTTTCTAACTATTATATCACCAAAAGTATGTAGACTGTACGGTTAACATCTTTAAATATTCCAAATGTGTTACTCAGTTTTTTGAATATCATAAACATAATAGTGTTCCATTCATATCTTCATAAAAAAAGGAGAGTCCCTTATTAAAGTACATCTTTATAGCTCCTAGCAATAGAAATGGCAGGTGCATCAAGTACACCACAATGCTAAACAAAAAAAATGGGATTACTTGATAGTAATCTCCAGGGAATTAAAAACACATGCTTAAGGGTCCACAAATAGTTTTCCCTGTCCTTACAAACGAAATCAGCATTTAGTTATATAGCTTCTATAAAAGGGGGTATTGGTACACAAAGACAATACATCACAAATAATTTGATAGTAAAGTTTCTTGTGCTAAGTTCTGTATTTCACTTGAAAATTCACAACTATCTCTCAAAATATATCCATCATTATTAATTTTGACAAACAATAAACTAAAAAGCCTGCTAATGCACGATTATAAAAACTACTATTTTAATTCTGCACTTAATTTTAGTAAGTATAGAAGAAATTCCTGGGTGAGTTTCTGATATTCTGATGTGTATATACTCTGTGTTGATAAATCATCCTTTTTTAAAGTCTTAATAAATATCATTATAATTTAGTTTATCTAGTTTTTAGTGGGATTTTGATTCAAGTCAACAAGTTTAGTTATACTGCTCATGATAACATCAGCTCTATTGAAATAATCTAATTTTTACTGAAATTTTTCAGTGTATGTATCTCTTCTTTATTTATATTTAAAGACTTATATTCTGAACTGTTATTACTAAATCAAATCAAAGCTATTCTACTTACATAAGTTCTAATATTAAAGGATTTATTACCACTTCTGATTACTGCTATGAAGTTTATTAACTGAACACGACTTAAGAAAGTTTGATGTAGTTGTCCTTTCAAATTATCTTAAACAAGACCAATGATGAAAGCATTCTCTGGTAAAATATATCCTACTTATCGAATAACCAAGGTAAAAAAAACAACCAAGTTAGTTCAGGATGTAATCTGTCACAAGTTGTAATATGTCATCTGTATCTTGTAACTATGGAAAGAAACTATTAGAAGATAATGTTTTTAAAGTATTGTTATAGAAAAAAGTTTAGTACTGTTAGTGAGAAAGCAGTAATTAAGAATTCTAAATGGTCTGGTAATTGCATCTCTCGGGCCGGTTATGAATTAGCAAATTACAACTTTTACGCTTCCCTTTAAATTTTACGTTAGTTCTTTATTTGTTTAACTTGCTCGGTATCCTTTCATAACAAGTTACACAGTGAATAAAAAGAACAATAAACTTTAAGAAACTTAGTTATCTTTTTAAGAATAGATTGTAACAAGCTAAAGAGCAATAACAATGATATTATTTTAGATATATCACTCAATCAGGTTAGAAGGAAGTAATTAAAAATTTGTAAATTCAGACCCAAGTATTTGGTAGCTAAAGGTTTTGTGATGATAATGGCCTAAAAATATTTGTAATACTTATTAGTTGAATCTTGTTAAATATAAACATCCCATGCAAAGTATTATAGATAATATTAATACTAAAAGTTTAGCTCTACAATAATTAATGCAGCTAAATGAGCTTAAGAAATATTGCATCTACTGTGAATTAAACTGTAGCTAGCCTACAATATACATAGGATAGGTATGGAGAAGTAAGATTTAGAGGCACTTGGGATAGATACTATTAGCATAGAAAAAGTCTTTATTTTTATATATTGTTTGCATTTATAAATATATTTAATAAAAGGTATTGTTTTCAATTGTAAGTGCTACAATTACTGACAAGAAACTACTTAAACATGAACCACCATGCTTTACGTACACATATTTAAGCTACATATCAATCTGTATTACATGACCTTTATTATTTACAGGGTATTTTATGTTTTTTCAGATAGTTATGAATATATGAATCCCCACCTTGATAAAAAAGTTAGCACAAAGGATCACATATAAAGTGTAATAAACTTAAAATAAGACCCAAAACTCGAGCACTTTTGAATAGTTGACTATTCTTCTTCTTTGTTTTCCTGAAGAAGAATAGTCAACTAATCAAAAGCACTCGAGTTTTGGATCCCCACCTTGGTAGCTGATGAGCACATTTATTTTTGAGTATCAACTATTGTCAACTGTTATAACTAAGTTCCATCATTTGAATGACATCCAGTTTACATGTTACCATCATTATTTAGTTATGTTTGAAGTATTTTTTAAGTTAATAACAAGTTACTTACTGCAAGTCACTAAGTATATCCTGAGCAAACATTGTTCTTTATAGTATTCTTACCGTTTTTCCCAAAAAAAAAGAGAAAAAGAGAGATGTTTTTTCTTCTATCTTGAAAGGTGTCTCTAGCTATAGTTTGTTACCTTTAAGGGGGGATATTCTTCATCTCTGGCTCCATTTGTTAAAATTTCCTTTAAATTAGTAATACGTCTGAATGTTTCTTTGTGGGGTTCAATGAAGATTTATATTCTTACATTTCATTTCTTTTTTTTCATTTAAAGTTCTTTTTTTTTCTGTCTCATGCTTCTTGTTATTTTGGCTTTTGCATACCACAACATATATTCTACCTACTTATGACCATTAACAGGTTTGATTTATCCTTGGTTGAATGGTGATAAAAAAATACAGCTGCATGATTCCTGCAACTTGTAAAGTCATGAGTTTTGTCTGTCCCTTTCTATAAACTGTACAGTTAGTTACTTCAGCATACCAAAACCTGTCTAGATGTTGCTCATTTATAAACAATTGGGATAGCAGTCCCATAGTGTTAGCTCAATAACAATTTATAACACCAGTTCTTTTGAACTAGAGAATATCAAAAATACCTCTGCAGTAGTCTCTGGCATCTTCCTGTTCATCATCATCTGACCCCATAATTTCTTCCTCCTCTTCTTCTTCTTCATATAATGGTTCTGATGTAGAGAACTGTGGTTCAAGTCTAAGGAAAAAATCAAACACCTATAAATTTAAAATCAGTTGTTATAAACATTCTAAATTCATATACTGTATTTATTCAGATTTTCTAAAGTAAACTGATTCTTTATTCTTTTCTTCTGTAGCTCTGTTTCTTTTAATTTAATTTTTTTTCCAGATATTTTTTGTAAGTTCAAATTAATGGTTCTACCTAGCCTTCTGTTCTCTACAACCACATGTTACAAATTATTTTTTCTTTTTTATTACTGATAATAAGACAAAGTACTGAACATTAAATTTCTTTCTTAATTTCAACAAATGTAACAAAAAATGAAACACACAACTTACCAGCTTTTATATAGTAGTCATCAAAGTCACAATTATAATCATAAACTATTATAAACATTTTCTGCTATCATATCTTATAAAGATATTCTAATGTGGAACAACTTTACAAACAGCTATGATTATGGTTATGATTAAAGCATACTTAGTTTTGTGAACAAATTAGTAACTAGGAAAAAAAAAGTTAGTTTCTAATATGAAGTTTTTTGGTTATTTTTAAATACACTCAAAAACCTAAATATAGTTGGTAATAATCCCACAGTATCCACGATGTATACATAATGCAAAACTTCAACACAGCTATAATATTTTCATAATACACTCAGTAAATATAAATCTAAAAAATCTAAATACTTCATGTTTTCATCCAAGTTTTGGTGAAAATGTCTGTTAAATTTTCTCCTAGTTTCAAGCAGTACCATCTACAAAAATATTCATTTCAGCAAGTTAATACACACAATTGTTTTATCTTTCTTAGCTTGTCTTTGATCCACCTCTATCTTAGCTTTGAAAGTCATGCAAGTATAAACCACAAACACATGAAAAAGAAATGACAATGATTATGGTAGATTTCTGTATATAACACTGAAAAATTAATTCAGTCTAATGAATATATTTTTTTTTAACCAAGTTCATAAAAGTATTTCTCCATGTAAAGTACAAACCAAAGGCATATGTCATCACAAAACTAAATGATAATTACAAAGAAAAAACCCATACTGGTCTATCTAGGTTACCTCACCCCTTAAAAAAAATTAACAAGTCATATACAGCCCTTATCTTTTAAATATTTATCAAGGCTTCCTTCCTTTAAACCACCTGTTGGAAAAATAAAACTGACTTAATTGAAAATGACTTCTACAATGCCAAAATTTATATTTGTGCCCCCTAGTCCTATTATTCTCAACATTAAGTATGAAAAAGATCATGCATCAACACCTATCAATTCCCTTAAACATTTCAATCAGATCCTCTTTAACTCTTCTTTTTCAAGAGAAAACAATTTCATATATCTTAACCTATCCTCTTAGGACAACCTTTCTATCACAAGTATCATCCTAGTAGCCTTCCTGTGAACCCTTTGCAATAATTCAATATCCTTCCTATGGTAATGAGTCTGTAGCTGAACAAAACACTCCAAGTGTGACCTATACAATGAAATTATAACCTAAAATTATATTTGTCCTACCAATAGCAAAAGCACACTGCTCAGATGGCTTAAGACTGATCAATCATAACACCAAGATCATTTTCTTCCATATAACACTGTTATGGTTATTCCCATCAAAAACTAGACTTATGATACAAAATATGATAACCCAATTGCATTACCTTGTATGTATTATAATTAAAAGGCATCTACCAATTATTTGCCCAACTCACCAAATAATATAAATCCTTCCCATGTTAGCAACTCCCAAAACTTTAATATGATCAACAAATTTAATTTATTAACCATTCCTTCATCTATGCTATTGATGTAAATCAAAAAGAGCAAAGGCCTTAACACTGAGCTCAGAAGCACTCTAATTGTGACATTAATCCAGTCTCACTGAAATCCTTTTATAACAACCCCTTTTTTCCATCCAGCCTCTTTTCTAATCAAAGAGTCAACTTATCCCCCACAATATAATGATTATATCTTCAACAATATCTGTCTAACATGAATTAAATTTCATCAGATAAACACTGAGAATCATAGTAGGATTCAGTTTAATAAAAAGAGAATGCTTAAAATTATTTAATAAAACTGTGACAAAATTTAACCATTAAAAGCAATGTACCTATAAGAGTTTTATATCTCTCTCAAACTGAAAAGTTTTTCTTTGTACTTTAAAACTATACATTTTATTGTAGAAACATGTTGAGTCACTCAGGAACTAAATTTCATCAGATACACACTGAGAATCATAGTATAATCTTATTATAATGGGGCTTGCCATGTATAGGTCCAAAACTCGGATCTCAGAAACTACTGCATCAATCTTCACCAATCATAACTGGGTAATATTTTTATAACTAGGCAGTATTTTTATAGCTGAGCAATAAATAAAACAATTGAAATTTCCACAAAAATGATATGTTTCAAATTTAACGATTAAAAATGACAAAAAAAGGAGTAA